ATATCCAACTGTTCTGTCAGCAAGCAGTTCTGACAAACAATCGTTTTTTATTTGGTTTTACATTAAACATATTCTTGTAAAGCATTATTTTTTTTTGGCTGCGTGACCTTGTAAACACCGATTATGTAAAAGTAATACAGTCTTGCGAATTCATTACTGTACTTATAATCAAAACACTTGAATAGATTGCATACCTCTTAAAAGCAGTCACTTACTTTTCTAACATGATTCTGAAGCTCCTCAATTCCAAACAGGCGAAAAACAAACCACATTTTCAGCGATCGGAATCGCCGTCCCATAGGAATCTGCCAGTGCTAATAATCAGTAAACAATTTTATATTGTTGATGCAGTCTTTCAAAATCAACAAAATTCTATTTTGTATCTATTTGAAATTTTTATAGTGTTATTTGTCAACAAAAAATAATCCTTCTAGTTCAAATATACAAACTGCCTGTAGTACTTCTTTGTAATTACTATAATTAATTCATTTTAAGTAATTGTTTTTATTCTGATTCTTAGTTTAGAAATATTTTAAATTCAGAAAGTGGATATTATTTTCATCATACTATATAGTACCTTACCTCTAACTAAATAGTAAAACTAATTATTATTTTATATTTATTTATATATTTATATATGTAGTTTAGTATTATCTTAAATTTATCTCTTCATACCGTAATCCTGACACTCATAACTTATCTAAAATATTAAAACTGGATTATACCTTTCTGCAAAAGGACACCACAATAAACCTCTTTTCTCGGATTCTTCCCTCCTTGCTACTAGACAGCCACCTAACCTTAAATCCATTCTTTCGCTATCTAAATTTTGTACCCAGCACTCACAGAAGGTAACACCACATGTTATAAAGCTCACTGCCAGGTCTGTCGTCATATCAACACTAACATCTCAGTAACACTTAACAACACACCTGAATATAAACTGCCCCACCTCCTCTAAATTGTTATTCTACTAATGTAATTTACTTTATATCATGCACTCTTTGCGACAAAAACCATTACATTGGGGAAACGGGTACCAAATTCCGCCTACGGTTAAATAACTATACACACTACATCCGCAATAACACCACTGGTTTTCTTGTATGGGTCCACTTTAACTCCCCCCATCACAATATCCACCGTCTCAAAGTCATTCTCATGTATTATTATTTATTCTGGTTGTTTATTATGTTTATTATTATTATTATTATTATTATTATTATTATTATTATTATTATTATTATATTTATTATTATTATTATTATTATTTATAGGCCATATTAATTTAATTGTTTGTCTCAAAGGTCCCGCACGCAATAGTAAATTCATGCGCGTTATTCACGCCACAAATGTTAGAAACAATTTTGTTTTCAAGTTTTGTGTGTCAACACAGTATAATTCATTATTCTTAAGTGAAGAAAGCCCTCTAATGGACCTTCTAAAACCAAGTATTTTTCAGGTCTCGCACATGTTCATCGCGGTAAATTTAAATCAATCTACTACTAGGCCTACTGTAGCCTAGTCACACCAAAATAATACATTAATAATAACTTCAATTCGCTTTTTAAAATTTTAAATGAAAATATTTAGCAAAATTTAGCTTTAATTCAGATTTGGCAATTTGGCTAATGACTGATTAACACTGTTGGCGTACCGTATATGTTTTTAATTAATGTCAGAAAACATAGAAAATGAAGCTATTATGACTGACATGCACTGGTTTACATCCGTGTTGTTGTATTGGTGTTCATAGCTAATTTAACCATAAAAATGATTTTATTAAAACATAGTGAAAAATAAAAACTGTAAAAAAATACCGCATCCCGCATTAGATATTTGGAAATATGAGAGCATTGAGACAAACAATTAAATTAAAATAGCATAATCATTTATATTATTTTTGGTTATTATCACTCTAGCTTATATTATTGTATACATTTATTAATTTTATTTTAAGTCGCCTCCTGTTGTTCTTGGTTTATAGCATAGAGAAAATAGAACAGAAGGAGTGCTATCGAGCAAAGATCAAAGGTACAGACCTCCTCGCCGCGATCGTAATTATCTGACCGTTACGTAACGCACTTGACAACTAGATAAGCTGAAATAGGCAAACGCGCATGCGTCGATAGCTCTTTACAATCAAAGCATTAGCAACGTATCGCGAGCGCGATTGTCGTGATTGAATATGATGATATCGATCTAGGCCTAGGCCGTAGACTTCAGAAACTGGAGGCAGCAGGAGAAATATAAAACCAATTAAATGATGATGTTTTAATTGGCATGTGCGTTTTGAAGATGGTGTGCAAGTGTATTATTTTTAGCAACAGGACAGGTTGCAGGCTAGGCCTATAGGCTTCATGACCGGGAGTAGATCCAGGCCTAGGATGAATAGTCAATAATCTTTTAGGATCGGCCTAGGGGCCACGTAGTTCACGGTCTTCTTGATTGATATTTAATAAAGGCCTAGCTATGTTAGATTTAATGAATACTAGGCCTTAGCTTACCACTGGTACCTGTCGTGATGGCCAGTACCATAACACAAGGCCCTGGCAATTAATATTTTCTAATTCATTTAATAATACAAATTAGTAAGCCTGTGTAGAGCCTACACTACTTGCTGTAGACGGGGACCTGTATGCAGCCTAGTAGCTAGGCCTAGGTATGAAAGTTTGTGTGTCAATACTAAATTTAATATTTATGCATTTTCATTATATTCTTTACTGATTGAACCTATATAAAAATTAATATATTATGATTTTTAAATTCTCCACCACCCATATTTCATCAAAAACTATGATAAACTGTAAATGGTAAATTTTCACAGGGATGCACTTTAATTTTCCCGGTGTTGATAGACCGGCAAGTACATTTTTGGAAGACGATGCTATTATTGGAGGGGTGAAGGGCTATTGCATCAACATTGACCCATCCCATAATGCAGAGTGTGTTATTTTATTGGCAAAAGACTTGGAGATGCAATTTTTTAATGCTTTAAAGCAACTACTGTATACTGTAGTTGTAAATGTTGGATAAAAACCAATGCTTTTTTAAAAGTTTATGTTAAACGAATGAAAGAGGCAAAGTTTCAAAAAGGGAAGGAACTGTCATATATTGTTGAATGGGCTTTGTGTAAATAGTAGAAATTTAATTTGGTAATAAATACACAGGTGAGACAGTACCGTAAGTGTAATATTTGTTTGTTGATTAAAATGTATCCTGCATCATGCATAGATAAAATTTGAGTGAAGTCATGAATGTTCATAATTTTGATCAGATAATGAGTAATGATGAAAAGTGAGTTAATACTGTTAGGGTAATTGTTGTACTTTTCAAATAATAAGAATAATGACAAGCACAAAGCAAAGACAACTTCAAATCTCATTTGTAATTTGGTGGTTCTGAAAAGAACCGTTTGGTTTGGAAAAAATTGGCATGCCACACATGATCTGGCTTTCTTCTTTCTTCGAAGATGCAATTCGTCAATGGTGTTTCTTGCCATCATCATCAGGAAGACCTCAGATGGATTGGTTGTTCGTGATTCTACAAAATGAAGTAAAAAGCATTGTTTCCAACATGAAAAATTGTTGCAAAATCAATAAATAAAAATGTGGGCCTGTCGATATGGACAAAATCCTGGCCTACAAGAATAATATTTTCGTTATTTATAATTAATAAAAACAAAGAATACGTGGGCAAAGAAAGTAAAGGTAAACAGTGTTCTTAATTTTTTTTTTTTTTTTTTTTTTTTTTTTTTTTTTTTAAGAACCAAAAAAAAAACTTTTATAAAAGTGAAGACCTGGACGTAACTGCAAATGAGACTACTAAGCGTAGTCCTAGGCTTACACATGAGCGCTACAGAGGCCGATCGAACAGATTTTAGGCCACATTATGGTCTTAATATCTCGACCGGACATGAGCGGACACGGTTAATTCGTGTACCAAATGAAAGATACAGCTTTATACTTTCGTCTAAACTAAATTTTATTAACTTGCAACAACTGGAACACTTTACAAACATTATTTATTGACATCACTTTCGTTCTTACAATAAAAATAAGCCAATACTTACAACTGATAACAAAAAACCAGTTATTTTAAGCCGATTTTGACGTTTAAAGTATGTATTTTCTCGCCGAAAAAAAAAACTCTGTCTGAATATACCAAACACGCACACAAACAAACCGTGGATGATGAACTGTGCATGTGTTTTTTTAATTCCAATGTTTAAATGTTTTGTGTATTAAGTACTCCACTAACGCCAGAGCGTCTATAGGGGTTTACGCATAAGCGGCGAGGAGCTGTGTGTACAAAGAGATAGTGCTGTAATAAGCTCCGCGGGTGGCCGTAGTGCAATTTAATAGGCACTAGCTGACTGTTTAATTGGATTAAAGATAAGCGATAAAGTCGATGTTACTCCTTCTGTTCTATTTTCTCTATGTTTATAGTTATACCCTATGTTTAGCTAAACTAATAACCATGGATGAATTAAGTCATCCATGCAATAACTATGGTGTACGGTAAGAATGGCCCCGGAAAAAATGGCCCCGGAAAAAATGGCCCCGGAAAAAATGGCCCCGGAAAAAATGGCCCCGGAAAAAATGGCCCCGGAAAAAATGGCCCCGGAAAAAATGGCCCCGGAAAAAATGGCCCCGGAAAAAATGGCCCCGGAAAAAATGGCCCCGGAAAAAATGGCCCCGGAAAAAATGGCCCCGGAAAAAATGGCCCCGGAAAAAATGGCCCCGGAAAAAATGGCCCCGGAAAAAATGGCCCCGGAAAAAATGGCCCCGGAAAAAATGGCCCCGGAAAAAATGGCCCCGGAAAAAATGGCCCCGGAAAAAATGGCCCCGGAAAAAATGGCCCCGGAAAAAATGGCCCCGGAAAAAATGGCCCCGGAAAAAATGGCCCCGGAAAAAATGGCCCCGGAAAAAATGGCCCCGGAAAAAATGGCCCCGGAAAAAATGGCCCCGGAAAAAATGGCCCCGGAAAAAATGGCCCCGGAAAAAATGGCCCCGGAAAAAATGGCCCCGGAAAAAATGGCCCCGGAAAAAATGGCCCCGGAAAAAATGGCCCCGGAAAAAATGGCCCCGGAAAAAATGGCCCCGGAAAAAATGGCCCCGGAAAAAATGGCCCCGGAAAAAATGGCCCCGGAAAAAATGGCCCCGGAAAAAATGGCCCCGGAAAAAATGGCCTTGATTCAATTCTTGCTTATACAGTATTTAAATATTTGAAGATAAAAAAAAATATATATCATTTCTATTTCACTGGGGCCATTTTTACCTACCTGTCATATGGGGCCATTTTTACCG